ATTAAATGGAGTTGCACAATATCCAACTGTCGCTATGTAACAAAGCCACGATCTAATGTTCTAATGGATTGGTCATACTTGACCTCACTTGCCATGGCGCCGGCAGGATTTGTCACGGTCAGGTCACTGTGTCAGTCATGTCATCATGACGTGGTTAAATGTCAGTCATGTCATCATGAAGTGGTTAAATGTCAGTCATGTCATCATGACGTGGTTAAATGTCAGTCATGTCATCATGACGTGGTTAAATGTCAGTCATGTCATCATGGCGTGGTTAAATGTCAGTCAGGTCACTGTGTCAGTCATGTCATCATGACGTGGTTAAATGTCAGTCATGTCATCATGACGTGGTTAAATGTCAGTCATGTCATCATGAAGTGGTTAAATGTCACAGTCAGGTCACTGTGTCAGTCATGTCATCATGACGTGGTTAAATGTCAGTCATGTCATCATGAAGTGGTTAAATGTCACAGTCAGGTCACTGTGTCAGTCATGTCATCATGACGTGGTTAAATGTCAGTCATGTCATCATGAAGTGGTTAAATGTCACAGTCAGGTCACTGTGTCAGTCATGTCATCATGACGTGGTTAAATGTCAGTCATGTCATCATGAAGTGGTTAAATGTCACAGTCAGGTCACTGTGTCAGTCATGTCATCATGACGTGGTTAAATGTCAGTCATGTCATCATGAAGTGGTTAAATGTCAGTCATGTCATCATGAAGTGGTTAAATGTCACAGTCAGGTCACTGTGTCAGTCATGTCATCATGACGTGGTTAAATGTCAGTCATGTCATCATGAAGTGGTTAAATGTCACAGTCAGGTCACTGTGTCAGTCATGTCATCATGACGTGGTTAAATGTCAGTCATGTCATCATGAAGTGGTTAAATGTCACAGTCAGGTCACTGTGTCAGTCATGTCATCATGACGTGGTTAAATGTCAGTCATGTCATCATGAAGTGGTTAAATGTCAGTCATGTCATCATGAAGTGGTTAAATGTCACAGTCAGGTCACTGTGTCAGTCATGTCATTAAGACGTGGTTAAATGTCAGTCATGTCATCATGAAGTGGTTAAATGTCAGTCATGTCATCATGAAGTGGTTAAATGTCACAGTCAGGTCACTGTGTCAGTCATGTCATTAAGACGTGGTTAAATGTCAGTCATGTCATCATGAAGTGGTTAAATGTCAGTCATGTCATCATGAAGTGGTTAAATGTCACAGTCAGGTCACTGTGTCAGTCATGTCATCATGAAGTGGTTAAATGTCACAGTCAGGTCACTGTGTCAGTTATGACATCATGAAGTGGCTAGATATTGACTTGATATTTCGTGTGTGTGTGGGGGCGGGGGGGGGAGAGACTGGTCTTTAGTATATTAATTAAATATTTCTAAGTTTTAAATAAATGATAACAAAAATGACGCCACGTTAATTTATGATTTAAACCATTCTCAGGTATTCGTTTGGTCTCCTAATAGAATTTACAAGTATTATCAATCATCCACGGGCTCATTAATGAACTCACTAATTTGAGCTCTCCTTTTCTCATCATTACTAACGTTGTTTTCACTAACTACGAAAACTGCACCACCAAGGTACAAGTAACCTATTGAGAGAACCGCTCAGGGTACAAGTAACCTATTGGGGGAACCGTTCAGGGCAGAGTTTCTTCCAGGCATCTCTCCGACCCCCCCCCCCCGAAAAAATTCTACCGCCCCCCCCCCCCCGAACGAAATGAAATTTATATAGAAAATATATACTTTTAACAGTGTCCGCCCCCCGAAGAAAGTCTACCGCCCCCCCCCCCTCTCGGAGAAAAAAGTCTGGAAGAAACACTGGTCCAGGGTACAAAAAACCTATTGAGAGAACCGCTCAGGGTACAAGTAACCTATTGAGGGAACCGCTTAGGGTACAAGTAACCTATTGAGAGAACCGCTTAGGGTACAAGTAACCTATTGAGGGAACCGCTTAGGGTACAAGTAACCTATTGAGGGAACCGCTTAGGGTACAAGAAACCTATTGGGGGAACCGCTCAGGGTACAAGAAACCTATTGGGGGAACCGCTCAGGGAACCTGTAACCTATTGATGGAACACCTGATGTAATATCTCTCACATAAACATGAGGATAAAACCATCCTCAAGAGTACGTGACGTGCTAAAAATAGCCACACGGAAACTTTCATTTTTCACGTAAACATTTTAGTCGTAAAGTGAAATCACCACTGGTAGATTTGGCATCTTTAATAGAAAACATATCTGGCAATTACCCAGTTGGTTATTAACTTCGTTAGCTCCTAAAAGGTGTTAAACGGACAAGAAAGTTCGCAGAGTCAGAAATGTCTTTATCCCAGGGGTGGGAGGGGGGGGGGGGGTGGAGTAGGGAAGGGGGGGGGGATTCCTCAAGATTGGAATATTTAATTTCTCGTGAATTATTGAAATTATTACAACATTTCGGAGTCTGCTCAAATTTATTCTTCAACAAATATGTGCAGGCCTACGTGATTATCGTCTGTTTATAGTGACATAAACCTTGATTTTAAACTACAGGATTTTATGTTGACCATAACAAATGTATACTTGAATATACAGTCGATATGTTCATGTTGACCATAAGAAATGTATACTTTAATATAAAGTTGATCTGCCGCTGTTCACCATTACAAATTTATACCGCGATATAAAGTTGATCTGCCGCTGTTCACCATTACAAATTTATACCGCGATATAAACTTGATTTTTCCTTTATTAGACTTGGATCATAAACATCAGGGGAGATAAAATTTAAAGGCAATAAACAAGCAACCACAAACGTTACAAGCGTAGGATGTTAACTGCTGTGGTTGCTGCACTATATTGGCTACATTAAAGTCGTATCTTTACTGCTGTGGTTGTTGTGGTTGTTGCACTATATTGGCTACATTAAAGTCGTATCTTTACTGCTGTGGTTGTTGTGGTTGCTGCACTATATTGGCTACATTAAAGTCGTATCTTTACTGCTGTGGTTGTTGTGGTTGTTGCACTATATTGGCTACATTAAAGTCGTATCTTTACTGCTGTGGTTGTTGTGGTTGTTGCACTATATTGGCTACATTAAAGTCGTATCTTTACTGCTGTGGTTGTTGTGGTTGTTGCACTATATTGGCTACATTAAAGTCGTATCTTTACTGCTGTGGTTGCTGCACTATATTGGCTACATTAAAGTCGTATCTTTACTGCTGTGGTTGTTGTGGTTGTTGCACTATATTGGCTACATTAAAGTCGTATCTTTACTGCTGTGGTTGTTGTGGTTGTTGCACTATATTGGCTACATTAAAGTCGTATCTTTACTGATGTGGTTGTTGTGGTTGTTGCACTATATTGGCTACATTAAAGTCGTATCTTTACTGCCGTGGTTGTTGCACTATATTGGCTACATTAAAGTCGTATCTTTACTGCTGTGGTTGTTGTGGTTGTTGCACTATATTGGCTACATTAAAGTCGTATCTTTACTGCTGTGGTTGTTGTGGTTGTTGCACTATATTGGCTACATTAAAGTCGTATCTTTACTGCTGTGGTTGTTGTGGTTGTTGCACTATATTGGCTACATTAAAGTCGTATCTTTACTGCTGTGGTTGTTGTGGTTGTTGCACTATATTGGCTACATTAAAGTCGTATCTTTACTGCCGTGGTTGTTGCACTATATTGGCTACATTAAAGTCGTATCTTTACTGCTGTGGTTGTTGTGGTTGTTGCACTATATTGGCTACATTAAAGTCGTATCTTTACTGCCGTGGTTGTTGCACTATATTGGCTACATTAAAGTCGTATCTTTACTGCTGTGGTTGTTGTGGTTGTTGCACTATATTGGCTACATTAAAGTCGTATCTTTACTGCCGTGGTTGTTGCACTATATTGGCTACATTAAAGTCGTATCTTTACTGCTGTGGTTGTTGTGGTTGTTGCACTATATTGGCTACATTAAAGTCGTATCTTTACTGCCGTGGTTGTTGCACTATATTGGCTACATTAAAGTCGTATCTTTACTGCTGTGGTTGTTGTGGTTGTTGCACTATATTGGCTACATTAAAGTCGTATCTTTACTGCCGTGGTTGTTGCACTATATTGGCTACATTAAAGTCGTATCTTTACTGCTGTGCAGGCATAAATTGTTGATGTAAACCCCCCCCCCCCCCACTCCCCCTCACCTACCCTGGCCCACATCTCGCGAGTCACAGATCGAACTGTCTAGGTTACCGCCCTTGGTTCCAGATCCACCTGAAGCGTCCGAACAAAGGTCACCCTGACCTGTTTATTTGGAATTGCGACGGCTATCGATTGGTAAATTACGAGGGCTGGGTTGATCGAATTAGGTCATATGTTAATTGGGATGGATGTCAATCCTGGAGTAATGACTTTGGCGTTTCTTTGTTTTGTTAAAACAACAATCCTGGGACTGTAAGACTGTAGAGAAGATATGTGGGAAGGGAAACAAAAAAAAACATAATTTATTTTGACGTGTCGAATATTTGACACAAGAAATCGACCGTATGGTGTGGAATGTATTTGTTTTTGTAGAGTGTTATGTGGCGTATTTATGCTATATTTGATACGTGTAGGCCTTTGTCTTATGTGGATATTTATGCTATATTTTAGACGTGTATGTGTTGATGGTGTATTTATGCTATATTTTATACGTGTATGTGCTTGTGGAGTATGTATGCTATATTTGATTGTATTTATATTGTATTGATATGTCTGTGTTTTCGGAGTATTTATACTATATATGATACGTGTATGTGTTTGTGGTGTTTTTTGTTTTATATTTATTTCATGGGGTTTAAGGCGTTGTTCTTTTACTTTATTGCTATGTGACAAGTATCTATTTCCTTCAGTAGTTCCTCGCATATTTCTGTTTGTAGTATATGTTTCTTGATTCTAAATGCATATGCTAATTGTGAAATGTATGTATATGACTCATACAAGAACCTATGATGCCATATTTCTCATCTCTGTCAACAGGTGACGTCACACCATCCGACTACGTCAGTGACAGCCTAACTAACCGGAACCCTAACCCTGGACTAAACGTTAACCCTAATCACATCGATGTAACTGCCCGGGCAACTAAAAGTGCTGACTCGTGTTTTCCAGAACATTCGCCTGATATCTCTGGTCAGCGTGACACTGTCGTCTGCTTGAAGCACATCGATCTTAACGGCCGGGGAGACAAGCATTTATCATCATTACCTCCCCACTTATCCCCCCTTAGAAAGGGCTTAGTCTGTGAATCCGCTGATCAAACCCAATACAATCAATACACCCCCGCGGCCAGCCCGCCGTCATTAGATGCCAATAACCAATCAAATCTCGAGGCCAAACAGGCAACTCTGTCTGCGCTATTCAGCCCTGAAGATTTACATTTTGATCAGGCTATCGCCACAGGTTTAAAAGCCTCCCGTCATCACCCGTCAGCATTTTCTCCCAGCAGTTTCAACAACATCCGGTGCAGACCAGCCCAGCCAATCAGCGAGACTTCCGGTTTTACTCTCGGTCAAGTTTTACCTGTCCAATCTCCCCCGTGTGGGTCGCGCATTGACCTTCGCCCCGAACAACACAATCAACAACAGACTAATTACCTGCCCAATCAAGACTCTATTCTTGACCAGCATCATACGTCTGACGTCCCATGCGTCACACCAACCATACAGACGTGTTACACCACCTCAGCTACCCACACCCCTCACACCCCTCACACCACTATCAGCACCTCTCAAAACGGTGACGAAACCTCTAATCTAGAGAATTTACGCCACAATAAATCTCGCCCTAGTGTACTAAGTATCACTTCAAGTAAAGCCGACCAAGTTACCCAGCTTACTCGACCAACAGGAAGTGAAGTAGTTGCTGTTTACTCCAACAATAAATCATCACCTGGAACTCAAAATGGCGCCTCCACTGCCACGCCCCATGGACCAATCGTTGAACGAGAAAAAAGTAGTAGAGGGGGGAGTAGGGTGGTGGGGAGGATTAGGCTTAAGGGAAATAACCGGGTACGGCTTATCTCAAGTCGTCGAGAACCTTCTGTGAAAAATCTAGCATTAGGACATGTTAATGTTAGCGATGGTGCGATTAGGACCAAACTAAAACCTGAGCAGCACATCGTATCAAGTACACACACCTCTGGTCTACACACAGCTAACACACGTCTTCACGGTGCCAACAATGCTATTTATAGCCTAGATATTTGTCCCAACACAGACAACAATACACGCACAAAATGTGAAAACACGTTGGACAACTCTGAAAATGTGAGCAGTGAGCGAGTTACTGTCCATGTTGTACCACAGTCCCGCCCCGCACGCAGGCCTCAGAAGCTTCACGTGCGACAAACTCGAGCTAGTCTCTTACGTCAGCTGAAAAGTCCGACAACCCACGAAAACAAACAAGAGAAGACAACCCTCTCTTCTGAAGGAACAAGGGAACACAATTCCTTAATTAAAAGTAAACTAAGTTTATCTGAAATTTGCACTGTGTTATATGAAATACCACCCCGCCCCTCCCACCGATCTACAACAACCTCCTTGATCGTTGCCTCCAGTTTACACTCCATAAAAACAATGGCGGAGCCTGTTACTATAAATAAACCAAAAACTCAGATCGCGCGGCGTGCGAACAAGAAGCAGTCGATAACGAAAGAAACTTTCTCAACCAAGGAAACATCTCAGACAAGACAAACTGTGGGCGCCCCAGCAGGACAAAATAAACCCCGCCAAGGTAACACGAGGACCGCAGCCAAAACCCCAGGCGAAGACGCGCCTGTAAACAGAACAGTACTCACGCTCGGCTTTCTCCGACAGACCCAGTCCCAGCTCTCGAAAATCAAAAACCCGACGGCCTCGAAAGGTAAAATCTCAGGTGAGATCCACCCAGGTGACGCCGAACTAACGAATCTCAAACCACAACACATCGGAGTCAAAGACAGCTCTCAAATCTCCTCGGGGAAGCTCTCTAAACGCCCGACGGCCACTTCCGGTAGAGCTCAAACATGTGTAGAAGTTGACAACTCAACAAGCGACACATGCTCACAAAGTGCTCACGTGGTATCGCCTATCCTACGCAAGGCTTCCCGTAAAGAAAACGTTTGTTCCGACTCGGCAGCGAGCATTAAATCCCCCAGGTCGAGAAAGAGGCTCAGCATCCTCGGCGTGACGTCATTTCCGGATGTTCTGTCGCCCGTGACGTCGCCCACGCAATCGGAGCCCAAAAGTCCCTCGTCGGAAATGGTGAGCTCGTTTAAATCCGACCAAGATGTCGGCAAGGATGTCATCACCTTGACCTTAACACCCAGGTGCAAATCATTGTCACCTTCCCCTGCCCGGAACCAGTCGCCCCAACATAGCAACCAGTCCCCCCAACATAGCAACCAGTCACCCCAGGACAGGACCAAGGGTGGTTCCACCAGCCCCGCCCCCTCCCCCAGTCGACCCTACACCACGGACAACTCAGACGCTAAACCATCACTGCATGGACCACCAGCACCACAGACATCCACATCAACCACATCAACAACAACCACATCATCCACCACCAAAGCCCCACAACTTTCAACTGCTCCCGTAAAGATCTCCAGCCCAGGATCTCGGCGATCCAACAAACTAAAACAACTATCTCACCGCGACTCCATGTTGCCTGTGTCTAAACGTCACGTGACTCCCGCTAAAGTCACTTCACTCTCTACCAAATCTCCCAGACCAATTACCGAGGCCACAACCAAATTAACTTTAATCAAATCCCTCGAGACTCAACTAAATACACAAAAACAACTACCCGAGAGCACAAATAACGCAACTCTTTCATGTAAACTACAACCGATGGATCACTCTGGCAGCGAAGACAGAGCTGTACCGGAGAATCTGGAATTAAAACTTGAGACGTCCAATGTGGCAAGCCATCGCGAGAAGACCGACAACACCTTTATCGACCCGAGTCATGTGATGTCTGCTTCTCAAGCCTCACAACTGTCTCTGCGCGCTCAACCTCGTGATTCTAAAAATAGGCATGACGCTGGTTCAACTGCCGGCATGGACGAAACACGGCAAATAACTATCGATCCGGTTCATGCCGGCGACCGCCGCCTGCCGGCTGATTCCGGCATCAATCTCACGTCAAAGTGTTCCAGAGAGAGCGCTACATCAGCTGAAAGTGCCGAGGTCAGTAAAAGTGCGGGTCAACTCAGGGAGGGTGGGGAGAGGGGCAAGGAACCGCTGAGGTTCAAGAAAAATGTTAAAGAGAACAGAAACCTTCGCGTCAGAGAAACTAGTCACGTGATGCCCGGGGAGGGGGGAAACAAAGATCTGCAGACGTCTAGTGATGGACAAGGGAGAGCCACCAAACTACCCTCAGCCTCGAAACCAAAAACTGACAAGACCTCACCCACCAACCCGAGTCTAAACATCGACTCCCAGCTGTTAAGGTCTCGACTCAAAGAGCTCTCCACGCAGAAGAGTCTAAAAGACTCCCAGCTGTTGAAATCTCGACTTCAGGACCTCTCGACTCTGCCTCCTACACGACGCCTTATGAAAACCTCGACCAAAACCTTCCTGCCTACGTCATCAAAATCTGCTGTCGGATCTCGCGCCACTACGCGGGAGAGTTCCGTCGACAGCCGGTTTGATGACGACACGGCTTCTGTCGTGTCGGACATCACCTACACGTCAGCTTACACCCGTCCCATCAGCTCCCGCCGTAGTAAACCTGCACCTCCCCGCCACCCCCTGCCCGTCCCACCCCCCGACTCCCCCAAAAAGAAAACACCCCCGCCACCAAATAAACAACCAGCAAACAAAACGTCTGCACTCACTTCTGCCCTACGGCCAGCATCAACAAAGTTCCCAGCTAAAACCGACCCAGGTCCCACATTAACTTCCAGCACGGGAACCTTGCCAGGTAAAACTTTAAAGAAAACTTTTCTGGCCAAAACCGAAAGTCTGGAAGATAAAAAGAAACGGCAAATAAAATCGTGCGGTGCAAGGGCAGTAACTCAAAAAGAAAACCCAGTCATTAAGCGAACAGGAGTTGCTCATGAAAAGATGGGAAGGTTGAATGAGGTGGAGAGTCCCGGTGTGATATCTTCTGAAAATAGGATAACAGCTTCAACAACCAATCGCATCGTTGCTGACATAAAACATGTAGATGATGTTGGTGAGGAAACTACTGACTCTCCAACACTTGATACATGTGATTTACACTCGACTGATTCTTCACAGTACAATGATCACGATCGTGACAATCACCAAGGAGAGTATCACGATCGTGACATGCTAAATGACTGTTGTCACGATAGTCACATAGAACGTAACAGTTTCCACGATAGTGACTCGCAAAAAACTAATTTTACACAGATATGTGACGAAGCTGAAGACGAAAGGGAAATAACCGATGAAATAAAAAATGACGAGTTATCCCCCTCGCCGGGCTCACTCAATGCAATAATTCCCTCATCTTTGTGTGCCCCCACCCCTGCTATCTCCGACTCTGATAGTCAAGGTAAACACGACTGCTCATCACCTCTCTCGGACTCTGCACGTGCGAATGAACGCGCGAGGGAAACCCCCTCATCTGAGGCTCCTCTCCCAGTCGGGGTCCAGAAATCGGAACACTCCGACGGACCCATCTCCGAAACACGGGCAGGGGAGGGAGCGGCACGGCAACTCGTGGGAGCGGCTTTTATCTCGCCCTCCGTACCGGCGCTGGGACTGTACGCCGCTGCCGTTCACATGGACGAGTCGCCGGGGAAGACACAAAGAAATGATGGGCGAATACACGAGCAAGGGGAGGCTACACGGTCCATGCGAGGGGAGGTAATTCACTCCCCTCTACTCTCCACTGTTCTTTGTCAGGCTGTAGACGGGGAGACGGTACAAAATGACCTGAACTCATGGACGGACGATGACCCGATGGACGGCCAGGAGATTTTGGATTATTCTGAGGATTATCTGTGTGAAAATTCGAACCGGATTAACTCTCAAGGATTTATCAGTAATGAGTTGATTTATTTTTCTTGCCACGAGAACCTTCACGGTTCAGTGGCCGCGGACCATGTGTGTGGTCAGCCTGACCAGATGGAGGAGGGAACTGCTACAGGTAAGGGGGCATTTTTTCTAGGTCAGGGTCAGACTTGGGTTACACATTACTACTATTGTTAGGACAGGGGGAAATCTTTACACGCATGCAGTCCAAAACATTGGGTCATGTTAGTACCAGTCACAGCTTTACATTCACATCACTTATCACACTTTACCTCCAACATCCACATCACATATCACACTTTACTTCAAATACCCATATACCCATAACATCTAAATAGCATTACTTTCTCTACCACCACCCCATGCACACACATACATCACAGCACCACTACCATTAGCCATTACCACAAAATTTACCACCAACATCATACCCTCCACACAGACCATATTACTATCTACCTCACACCACCACATTACAACCATATCACAAAACTACCCCCACATCCTAACAATACCTCCACCCTTCCCCCCCCCCACACCAAATCACGATACTACTCCCCCCCCCCAAACATCACCACCCCCACCCCGCCCCCCACCCCCGCAACATTACCTCTGATCCATCAACTAAATGAACAACCATTACATGTCCAACACACACCCAATATGACATCACCACCACCAGTTTGACCAACAACATCCATACTTCAATAACCCTATCATCATCTCTATATACAACCTCTATACTTTGCTTGCAATAACATCCATACTTCAATAACCCCATCATCATCTCGATATACAACCTCTATACTTTGCTTGCAATAACATCCATACTTTAATGTCCAGGCTACACTAATGTTAGTAAACAAACACGACGTAACTGTGTTTTACTTTCTTTCAGACGGTCATCCCAACTCCCAGGCCACAACACAAGAAGACAGGGACCATAACTCGGACACTTGTGAAAAACGTGAAACCGTCCAGTATTTGAAGAAAGAATCGTCCCATAGAACTAGGTCAAGTGGTAGTGGCCAATCAAATTGTGACGTCATTGACGCTGACCTCAGTATTGATCCCTCGGAGCATCAAAAATTCACCCTCGCTTCCATTAAAAGTTTGTCAGGGGCGGGTTCAGAGTTCATAGCATTACACAATGAGGAAAATATCATGATAGACGACATCGATTCGTCGGATTTCGAGGAAGAACTGGAGATTTTGGCAACGAAAGATGGCGAAGAGAGTGACAGTATCGATACCACCCCGCTGTCAAATCGAGGCTCTCAGGACGATAAATTACTCTCGACGAAATCATTCTCGGAATCGAGCGACGGGACCTCGCGAGATGACCTAGTGTCCTACTCAGCCACCACGAACTCCGAGGTCCGGTGTGGCAGCAGGGAGGAGACAGCCGACGACAGCCCTGAAGCAGCAGGGCTGTACCTGCTTGATAATCTCCCGCACAAGACCTTCAGCGATTACAGCCTAAACAACACCGCATTCGATACCGCCATGGGGAGTATGCTGATGGCTGACTCGGACGAAAAAGAAGACGACGATGAGTTTGTAGATAACACCATTCCAGACGATAATGACGCAATAGAGGACTACAAAAACTTGGACAGTGAGTCATCGTGCTCCGAGTCGAGTTTCCAATCCGCTACGTCAGATATATTAATGGCGGCGGCGTCCCCCGCAACGGAGGAGCTGGCGTATTTTGAGGGGTGTGGGACGAGCAAGGCAGGGGAGGGCATGGCGAAGCTGATAGCGTCAGATACCGAGGCGCTGGGTGCCGGCAGTTGGAGGGATGCGCATGACACACCGGAGCGTGAATGTAATGTGACGTCAGATGAGAGCACGGAGGATACGCTACACGCTAACACGGAGGATACGCTACACGGTGTGTTCGGCTCGTCCACGCCTCGGCGCAGCCTGGATTTGAACCCAAGGTATGAGAACACTTTATCCTCGCCCATCCCCCAGCAAGCACCAACTCCATACTTTGACAGCTCGGATATGCCGTACGTTCCTTATCTAACTCGCTCACCGTCCTCATCGACTCGAACATCGCTAGTATTATCACCCGCATGCCACATGGACAACAACGCCTCTTCACTAACGTCGCTCCTGCATCTTCAACTCAACACGGAGGGTCAAGGTCATTTACAGCCTGACCTAAAACCACAACAAACCCCGCCCTCCCCGTCCGTTGACCCGACCGGCGCGGGATCTAATAACATCCCCCAGCGGTCAAACTCTCCGGGGGGCGGGGCGAGCAGTGACCCCGTTATTCGTCTTTCTTCTCCCTCCAATACATCTCCATTTACCTTTTGCTCAAGTGTGCATTCACAAATCAACACGCCAGAATCTTTTGGATGTAACGGCACTACAGATAACTCCACGGAATTAACGTCTTCATCTGTGAATAAGGAGAAAAGACGATCTCGACAACAAAGAATAGCTGACAACCAGGTCACCCCCTCCCTCCTCCCCTCCCGTTCCCTATCCCTAGAACCAAAACGCTCTTCCAAAACGACCACAATATCGGAACCGCGTAGTCGGTCCCCGTCCATTTTTTCGACTTCTCTAATAATCGATACCGATTCCCACAAATTGAACCAACGAGGCAAGCAGCTCATCGGAACTTCGAGGATCTCAGTTTTAAAAGCCAGATCTCAAGAACGTGAATCTCAGATCTCGTCTGTCACCGCTCACAGGGACGGGCCGGCCACCCCCGCCCAGTCGTCACCATGCCCGGCAGCGCACCCCACCACAGCACACCCCACCACTAACGGCTCGGTGAAACAAAAACCCGCTCAAGTGAACGAAACAAACCAAAAATCTTCACCGGCAAAGTTAAAAACCTCGCTCACCAAACCAAACGAGCGACCGTCTGGTCGTCACACAGCCCTCGCCAGACCAGCCACAACAACCAGTACCACAGCAACAACAACCAGTGCCACAACAACAAGCTTGAAAAAACAGCGCAACGAGCCATCCAGCGCCTCGCTAACTGGCCAAAAACTGACCAAATCATCGTCCACCTCACACAAAGTAACAGCTATAAATAGAACCACGCCCAAGTCCGCCGAGCTACGAGTGAACAGGGACAAAGATACCACGCTGGACGCTGGTCGACGGAAAGTAGAACACACGGCCAACCAGCACACGACCAACCAACACACCGTTACAGAAAACAAACAAACGCAGCGTGGCGACCTCTGCGATGAAAACAACGCCGTGTCGCGTGACCTTTGCACTTTTAAACCGCCGCCACCGGATACCCCTACGCAATGTATGGACACTAAAACTTCATCAAAGATGAACGAAACGACAGAAAATAGTTCCACGCATTCGCGACATGACGTCATCCATTCACGGCTGATCACACAGATGGATATACTAACATCCAGCTTGGGGGAGTATGGATTCTCCCCCATAGATGATAGCCTATCGGATACCATCCCAAAAGACAGCATAACGGGTCAAGATGACCTACCGGACATAAAGACCAGCTTGTTCGAGAGCGGCTACTCCTCGGATATCAAATCACCGGAAATGACGTCACCGACACAAGACATGGAGGACAACTCGAAGCTAGAGATGGACACAGTGACGTCACTGGACGTTAACCTTGAAGCAACTTCTGCTGTAACAGGCGTATACAGCGGCAAACACACGGAACCAGTCATCGTGCTGACCTCTTTATCGGGCGGCCCGACACACGGGGCAAACTTCAGCACCCTGGAGCTGGGCGGTAGAGACGAGAAAATATTGCAGGAAGTCTCACACGGGCTCCTATCTCGCTTATCGCCCAGCCTCGAGTCGAGATTAACGCAGAGCTGCACACAAACACGAGAAATATGCACATTTCCTGGGGGCAGGGGCGGCACACGTCAGGACAGGGGCGGCACAGACTTGGGTTCCAGTCCTGAAACGTGCGCCCCTGGACGTGAGTTAAACAGTACTCACCATAAAGTATCCGCCCCCTGTCACGATAGCTCCAACAGTCACATGACCGAGGTAAACAAACCACAAGCTACTTCTCGTGCACACACGGATACTACTCACCCTCAATCTACCTTCGCTGGAGATATCAAAGGTCACGAGGGCCAACCATACGTCACTGAAATTAAATCCCGTGATAAATCACACAATCAAAACATTTCAGTCCCGCCCCCGCCCTGCACACAGCACACAGAGCTCGTGAGCCAGAGTCTTACCATGGACTCAGCACACGTGCAGAACTTTCCATTTATAGATGACGACATCTTTACAAAAACTGGTTTCCATATTTCGCACAATGAGGCGCTTCATCTCCCAGAGGCTAACGAACAACACGGCGATTCAAGCGAGAGGCACGACAACAGCCACCAACCCCAACACATAAAAAGTTGGAACAATTTGAATGAAAAAATTGATGAAACCGTTTTTACTCACCCTGAGAAATGTGTTGTTGATTCTAATTTTACCGCGGCGCAGGATTCCGACAAGTGTGATACCCACGGGGATAAAAAGTCTGAGATTAGTTCAGCCTTGGTGATAAACAATATCACGGGCGAGCGCGTGCTTCCGAGTGAGTCATTACGTGACCAGGAGGAGAATGTATCAAACACAGACTTAAGGCAGGGGATGTGTGTACAGACAGCCGGCGGTTGTACCAGCGGATCTGTGGAATGCTGCGGCCCGACTAGACATTGTTCTGACGACCCACGGGGTTATGGAACACCTGGGGGTCAGCTGTCATCACCCCGTGCATTACCCGCGCCTGGCGTGGTAGCGGGCAGCTGTCAGGTCACTGCCAGGGTTGGCGTGTGTCATGTGGCAGTAGACGAGATCACGTCTGGCTGGTCTGCAGGTAAACCCACCAGCGCCCCGGATCTTGTGGACTTAATTCCTGCCTCGTTACAAGAAGGGAACCGTGCTTGTTCTGTGTTTCATAGACCCGTGGATACTACCCAGGAGTTTCCCCACCCCCTGTCTCCACAATGTTCCCAGACCATCGACTCTAATATGGCGGAGACAAACCCTGCGAGGATTACAAAGTGCGGTATTTCTTGCGGTAACCAGGACACAGTAACTTCGGTAAACCAAGTCGTTGAGGTAAGACCTCGCTTTACTTTGTTCACACATCCACCCGGCAAGCAATACGGCTCACTTGAAGTAGATGACCAACACACTGACCGGTCTGGTGGTCATGATGTGGTCACTCGCAGCAAGACCATCAAATCGCCACCACCCACAGCACCAAAACCTGACATGCAACTTGTGCACGCCACCCACCAGTGGGAACTACACCACCGAATCGACACAGACACTAAGCAAGCACCTGTCTTGTACAACAAGAAACCAGACAAGCACCCACACGATTCCAACACACAGGAACTACAATCAAACACACACAACCTCGGTACCAGAGTGGAAGTCTCAGAGAAAAAGAACTTATATTTCAATAAATCCGATAAATTCGACAATAAAACAGAAATACACCGATCTTACAGTACCGACACCGGAATTAGAAATATAACCACCGTGTATTTTGAAAAAGGTAACGAAATAGTAGACAGTAAGTTAAAGACTTCTGTGAGCGAGAGTGCCAAGCTGGTGTATAAAGACCAGGATCCGGTCTATGTTCCATCTGACGACACGAGAAACCCCAAGACGTGCGGGGGTTTCAACTTCCAGAGGTGGAACACGCTCAGTGCCTGCACGCTACCCAAACCGGACCATCTGGAGCCGCACAAACTGAGCCCGTCCCCCCACCCGGACCACCCCCCAAAAGAAAAGAGCCCGTTTATTCTGGAGAAAGTTTGTGAACTGTTGAGCAAGATCTCCTCTAAGGAACCAGCGGAGATAGCCCGCTCCAAATCCCCGTGCCCGCCAGAAGACAAAAAGATCACACCTGTGAAAGCCAAGACCTCACCTGTACCAGACGACAAGCCACCTAGCGGCGACACCAAGGCTCAGAGTAGGGAGGCAAGGGTTGTCAATAAATGGAAGTCAATGATCAAAAAATCTCGCGTCGTCGCCATCAAAGATTCCTTCAAGGTCAAACTTTCAGGACCGGAAGACAGCACCTCACTAGCCCCTCCCCCACTCTCCCCCACACCTCCACGCAAGTACAAATGGGCGCGGGGGGACTCGGGGATCTGGAAAAAAGTTTACCTGGACGAGTCCCCAAAACCTGACCACGACTATGCCAGATATGATCAGACATTCGCAGCCGAATCTTTGGAATCCAGCATTTGCCACGCGATCACTCCAGTAAATTCCACCTCTTCACAAGAGCTCAGCTCCAAGTCTGACCATCCAGCAAACTTTGTATGGACACATTCTCCTTCGGCCAGTGACCTTCTGAGTTCACCAGTCCAGGATAGACCATCGACCGAAAACAAAAATAAACTAGAGGAAACTACGTGTCGTATCAACAATGTAGATTGGTGTCCAGTTGAAACTGGGTCATCATCCAACATGGCGGAGTTATCTGCCGGTAAAGCTGCTAGTGTAAACAGAGCAGATGTGTTGGGTGTAGGGGTGGTATGTGGGATGGAATTCAGTCAGGCGTCCATGGCAGACGTACAACAGTCGCAGTCAAGCCACTCAGTCAAAACTGAATCTACTTCACCTGTAAACCACAATGACGTCATAAATAACGGTCAAAAGTTAGCACCTGTAATCGATCTTGCCTTGTCAAGTCAAGATTTTGACAAAAAGACAACTAAAACAGGTGTGTGTAAATCCAGCAGTGATTTAGTTGAAGATCCTGAAAAATGTGAACATTTTAAAGGTGCAAACATATGCACGAACTCTCGTTTGTTAGAATGCAACATTCGGTCCATTTCGACAACTTTCGACACGTCATCTATACAAGACACCTTGTACGGCGACCTTGGACCTGTGGAACATTCTAGAAAACATGAAACATTTTCTGTAACTGGACATAAAATACAACTCAACTCTTGCCATGCGAATAGTGAAAAGAGCGTCACTGTAGCGGATTCTATTTATAGAACAAACACTACTACGGAAACAAACGAGAAAACATCGTCTAATTTCGTTACACGAGAAACAGAGGTGGCAGATATAGTTATTGAAACCACAAAGACAGAACAAGATGCGGCTAGTGTAAGCACCGAAACAGAAGGAAAAAGACCGGAAATTATTATAAAAGAAACCAATTTTCTTCACCATTCCAACATTAGCGTCGAGGATAATTTGATCGTGGATGAAATAGGCTCAGAATGTAAGGGAGATAAAGAAAATATATCCATCGAGAGAATTACCTCCCTTATTTCTGATGCAAATATGCCCGCTAAAACTTTGATGAACTCGCCGAAACCCGCCAACATCTCTCTACAAAACCCGTTTAATGGAGAAATGACAAGAGACTCATTAGCCGGCCAAATTTCTCTTCCAAATATAGAACATATTCCTGAACAGATTGTACGGAATTCTGAAAGACGTTCTCATGAAATTTCACAACAATTCCAGATAGACCCGTACAATGCTAGCCCAGCTGTAGCCGCTCATAGACCGACGACTATTTTCATGAAAAACAGCGTCGTACCCAATGAGGAAAAGTGCGAAACAATCTTCACCGATGAAACGGAAGTTGTTGAAACGCCGGCAGAAGACAGGGGCCCAGATGGGGACAAGGCAGGATGTACTTACCCAGATGGGGACAAGAGGGCCGAGCTCGAGGACCCCAAGAAGAAATACACCTGGCCGACTGTGGCTGAGAGCCTGAAGCGGTTCCAGAAGTCTATAGCCGCGGCCCCTAACCGCGGTCACCGTGCCCGAGACGCCACTTACAACACTTCACCCAAACTTTCGACCTACAGGAAAACACCAGGTCAACGACCCGCTGCACCTCCATACACCTCAGCTGACAACGATGAAATCCGCGATGATCACTCAACACTTTCTGAATCCACGCAGGATAAAGTGCTGGAAGACACGTTACCCTCGGCTTCCGAGTTAATCTCTAAGATTTTGACGGAATTCCAAGAAAATACGTCCGTGAAAACAGCATCCTCGCCGGAACATAAGCCGGCAGATCCTCACCCGGTGGTTGACGTACGGGCTAAGTCCAGGACTCAACGCACTGTTTGGGCGCCTCCTACAGTGCCAGAGAGAGTTCTTCCCCCTTCACCTGTGATCACATTATCACCTGATGCGATCCTTCGATCTGCTGTTCCGGCACTTGACTTAACGGTACGGCCGGCTGTTCCGGCAACTGATTCATCAACGGCATGTTCCGCACGTGCTGTCAGTGACGTGTCATCTGATGCCAAAGACATGACATCTACCGTCCTACCCTTGAAGAAATCCCTGACCAGTACCAGATCGGCTCCAGTCTTGCTTCAACACGTCATGGAAGACCAGCCGTACGTCAAGTTACCGGAAGTTCCAAGTCACCCAACCGGATTACCCTTGAAACCGTCGAGCGAATCTTCCGGAGACAGCGTGGACAACAACCCATACGACCAATCGTCGGTGACCTCACCAAGGTCAGGGTCACGAAGAAACATGCAGAGCGCCAAACTGATCAGTGTCAGCGTGTGGGACACTCACGACGGTGATAAAAATAGACCCTCGCGCAGACTCTGGACACCTGAAGAAAAGCCGGTGAGTACTTCCTGTCACGTGTACACCTTCTTTAAACTAACATGCTTGATTTAAACACATAAGGGCCTTTATTTACTTGATTTTAAATTTCAAACCGGAGATTTTACTTCCCCTTTTTAAATAAAATCCCGTTTTTCCTTTTGAAGAAGAGTAAATTTCCACCTGAAAAATCCTGAAATTACCTTTGATCTGTTAAAGAAACATGGCTATAATCCTGTTTCTGACTTGACAAAAAACTTCAACTCTTTTAAGTTGGTCAATTAGATCTCTACGGAATCAAGAGCTTTCATTTTATATTTGCATATGTCGAATATTTTTTTTTAAATAAAAGAAATCCAAAGTTATAGATTTTTGGTCCATTAAGTGCATCTAAAGCCAGTCGTAGCGGTAATGTAGGATGGGAGGGTGGGGGAGGTGTACGGTGTTGGTGCTGGCTATCTGGGATTTTGTGGATGAGTGCGCGGAGCCTACGTGCTATGTATTGGTAAAATTAAGACAGATAACATTTATGCAACTTGCGTGATGTGGCCTTAGCATCCCCCCCCCCCCCATGCAGACACATATTTATGACGAAAGGTACTTTTATTTTGTGGGATGCGGGGAGGGGGGTTATATCCACTACCCTCAAACACCCCCCCTCCCCCCAAACCCAAGCTACTGGTTCCGATTGCACTTTACGCGTTGTTTTTTTTTTTTTTTTCTTTATCGGTTTACAAAAAAATAATCAGTACTCAGATGAGATTAAAAAAAGATATGAGCCAAAGTGTGATATAAAGGTCACATGACTTTAACAACCGATAAAAACCCTCACCTCAAATTCCTCATTACACTCTGTGTTCCACATGGCTAAATACCGAAATGTGGGTATTGCTGAGATAGTTACCCTAAAGCACTGGCATCCCTTCATTTCAGGATCTCGGTATTTGCCATCCCCTTTTATCTGACGGGTTTGATCTGGCATTAGAACCCTATAGTTTTCTCTCGTCAGCTTTATGGTCGTGCTGCCAGAGCAGTGGGGGGGGGGGGGGGGGGGTAATCACCTCGTCTAGTCAAATATCACTGACTATCGCCAGTCGGAGACCTAGTCTAGTGATATATCACTGACCTAGTCTAGTAATATATCACTGACCTAATCTAGTAATATATCACTGACCTAGTCTAGTAATATATCACTGACCTAGTTTAGTCATATATCACTGATCTAGTCTAGTAATATATCACTGACCTAGTCTAGTAATATATCACTGACCTAGTCTAGTAATATATCACTGACCTAGTCTAGTAATATATCACTGACCTAGTTTAGTCATATATCACTGATCTAGTCTAGTAATATATCACTGACCTAGTCTAGTAATATATCTCTGACCTAGTCTAGTAATATATCACTGACCTAGTTTAGTCATATATCATTGATCTAGTATAGTAATATATCACTGACCTAGTCTAGTAATATATCTCTGACCTAGTCTAGTCATATATCACTGACCTAGTTTAGTCATATATCATTGATCTAGTATAGTAATATATCACTGACCTAGTCTAGTAATATATCACTGACCTAGTCTAGTAATATATCACTGACCTAGTCTAGTAATATATCACTGACCTAGTCTAGTAATATATCTCCTTGGCTACCAGAGTTTCTTTCAGACATTTTACCCTGGGAAAATAAAAGGGGGTGGGGGCGGGGGCAAAGTAAAAATTCTCTATATGAAGACCAACATTTTGAACTTAGCCTGGACCATTGTATTAACTTATAGTTATATAGTCGCAACATTCGGCACTTAGATCTAGAACTGCCAATCACAAATCCAACGTTTGATGCCCGGACTTTCCCCTCCCATTGAGCTTATTCCAGATAGTAGAAAGAGATGTTCAATATTTATTTACTTTACTACAGCTGGCTCTGAATTTAGTGTTTTGTTAAAGAGATTTTATAAGAGCTTTACATTTATAAAAAATGTTGTTTTATTTCTAGATCTATTAGCCTATTTTTTTTTATCTACAAGTCTTAAAATGTTTTACTTTTACTTTATCGAAAATATAAGCGTTTTAACCGACTCAAAGACATGCATTTCCTAAAAACATAAATAAAAAGTTACGCAGTTTTAAAAATGTAAACTAGATCTAGAATAGATCTAGATCTAGACAATTCAATAATCTTGTGATAGTACAGTAGCATTAGTAGTGTAGGATGTTGATTAAGCAATGATGGGAACTTGATTTTCTTTTTGGATTTGTCTATTTCTTCTTCTTCTAAATATTATGTATTGTAAAGTCAACTGCATGATAATTCAGCGTTAAAAAACGGTATTAAATATTATCCCAAATTATTTATTATTTTGTTAACATTATTTCTTAATTATAATAATTAATAATCTAAAATTCGAAACTATTAGGCCTATTTTAATTTCACAACTGCTGCAACTGCTTTACAAACGTGAATTTTAAAATTTGGCGATTGTTTTCAAAATGATTTCGGACTAAAATAATTTGTTTGAGGATTAGATTTAGATCTAGAATCTAGGTAGATTAGATAATAGATAGAGATTCGGGTAAAATCACGATATAGCGTCGGAAATTATTGGGTAATGTTCGTTGAGTTTCGGTAACATTCGTTACTGTAAACCATAGTTTATTTGACCGGTGAAAGAAAAATAAAGTCAAGTGCATTAAATTAATGTTTTAACTTAATTTAATGTTTAACTGACAAAAAATTAGCAACAATTAGTAAATCTACCGAGATTTTAGGTCTAACCTTTTAAAATGCACCTAGATCTATTTAATTTAACTATAAAACTATAGGCTGGTCAGTAGGCCTGGTTGTAAATCTGATTTTATCAAATTTTATCAAATGGGTGGATTTCAAATTCATAAGTTGGATTTACTGTTCAGAGAAAATGTATCATCTCAACAACGAAGTCAAAGAAAAAATCTTTAAAATTAAAAAGGTAGGCCAAATTTAATAATATTAATAACGAAGTGACTACTCTGAAGAAGATTTTTCTCCCCAACGTCTCCACTTAGTCGGTAAAAGATAGCTCTGCGCATGCGCAGTGACCTAGTGTTAGGGATAGGGTTGGTGTTAGGGTTCTGTGGTTGTAAACACACGCATGCGCAGTACCATCAAAAACATCGCCGCGATGGCAAGTGGTAGTTTCTCTCCATTGCGCATGCGCATCTTATTCCGGCTAGCATCGGCCAATTAATAATTAGGCTACCTAGGCCTACAAGTTCTAGATCTATAGGCCTAAAATAAATAATTAAATAAGCCCCCTAATAATAATATTAATAATTAGGCCGATGCTAGCCGGAAAATGATACGCATGCGCAATGCAGAGAAACTACAACTTGCCTTCGCTGTGATGTTTTCGATGGTACTGCGCATGCGTGTGTTTACAACCGCAAAGCCCTAACCATAACCCTAGCCATAGGTCACTGCGTATGCGCAGAACTAGAATCTATCTTTTGCCGACTAGGTGGAGACGTTGGGGCAAAAAATCTTTTTCCAAGTAGTCACTTAGTAATAATTAGCCTAATAAGTAATAGTAGTAAGTCAGTAGGCCAAAGTAAGTTAGTCTGATCGCTAAATTTTAGATTATTCTACTCAAACAATTTTTCTTATCTAGATCTAGATATCTAGACCTTAAAAATTAAATGTTAAGGCTAAATGATTGATAGCCCACTATTAGTAAAATTATTAGTATTAGATCTAGTAGCCCTAAGTAATAACTCGCCCTAATTAAATTTGTTTATTAGATTCTAGCTGTAGGCTACATATTAAATTAAATTAAATTATTAGTCATAGATCTAGATTCAATAGAATAAATTATCTAGATTTACTATGTTTCAACAGCAGACAAGTGGTAGATCTAGAATTCTAATAGGCCAGTGAGTAGGGTGATAGTTAAAAGTAAAAGTAGTTAATAACTACTAGTCTAGATTTAGATCTGCTTACTCTCACTAGCTAGTATTATTATATTAGTATTACTATTAGCCTTCTATTAATCTTATTACTTCCTTTTTTAATGTGCCTACATTGGGGGTTTCATACAACTTTTTCCTAGTGCAAAATTCATTGCAGACTAACTGTCGCACATTCACTCCAACTCAGCAACCTAGGTCTATACTATAGTTCTTCAAAATGGGTGGTTTGAAGAAAGAGACCATGTCTTTTGCAGTTGTGTAAAATGTGATTTTTTTTTTTAAATTGATTTTTTACTAGGCTAATCACTAACATTAATAATCTGTTATTATTTCCTAATAATGTAATATGCAAATCGACCACATTTATAAGCAAGATATGCTAAAGTTCAATTCAAACAACTCATACATAAGGAAAAGTTAGGTCAAGAGTTTTTATTAAAATTTATTAATTATTCAGGTAACTTAATTTTAAGTTGACTGAATTCTATTAAAACTTTTATTCAACCACATAGTACTTCATAAAGGAAATTTTAAGGGTGGGGAGTGGGGTATAATAGTAAGTTTTTTAAAAAATAAGTTTACATATTGCATACACTAAACCACAGGTACAAGTTTTAAAGTAAAGATATCATTCATTGTGCTAAGAAGATGAAAATATTGTTTTCTACCAGTCATACTTATAGAAAATTGTTGTTGTTGGTAATAAAACTATTGATTGCATGTCTTCCTTATATTACCTCTATACAAACTTACTGTCTTCTTTAATTATGTTTCATTAAGTCCTTTAGTTGTGGCCAAGGTAAATCCTGCAGCTTGTTGGTTTCTATAAGATCAACTTGTATAACTGGCATTTAGAAACTGAGAGACTGAGGTCTACAAATATTTTTGTCATTTACCAGGAAGACTGTATACATATTTTAGTGTTTACCTTACTGTAGTTTATTCACATAGTTAACTTTAAAAGAACTGTAAAATCTGCATGGTATATGGTAAACTCTATGATAGGTTTAGTGAACCTTGGAACATCCTGTGGCATCTCATAACATTTTATGTTTTATATTTTCTCACGC